GATCACAAGCCCACCTCTCTAACCTCTGCGCCACCACTCCCCCAATATTGACATTTGCCATCTCCACATCGTTGCATTCAGTTTTTATTCACAATTTGTTTAGTGTCCCAACTTTTTTGGAATCCGGTTTGTAAAATTAAACTAAAGACACTTGATTAACCACTAAACTCCTACTGTTTATGTTAAATATTCCTGAGTTAATTAAAATTCACTTGTGCTTCTGTCTCAATGAGTAAAAATAAACAAATTCAGATCTATTACAGTAATATACTGAGCCACATTATGCACATTCTTAAATCTTCATTCTTAATTGTTCTTGAATTGCACCGCTCCAGGTGGCTGCATGTCGGAGCAGCTCTGTTACTTTCATTCTGAGATTTTGCTTTTGGAAACTTTAATTCCTCTTTTTCTGGATGTAAATCACATTTTTTGGATGATTGTTTCCTCTGGTATCAGATGCTGTGCAGCTGGAAGGATTTTTACTGAAACTTTTTTAGTTTTGGACATTTGTTATGATGCGTAACCATGGCAACAAGGCAGTTTTCTACAACCAGCAGCAGATTAACATCTCAAAAGCTCAAATAATGTCTCAACTACAGCCCCAAATCTCAAACGAGTGTAAAAGGATGTTTTGTGGACGCATTCTCATCTACCTGCCAGCTGTGCTCGAGTGCCTGACCACTGAGATCCTGGAACTAAGAGGAAACACGGCTCATGATAGCAGAAGGACAGGATTGTCTCTCGGCACCTACAGTTGGCTGTCCACAGCGACGAGGAGCTCGGCAGACTGCTGGGAGGAGTGGCCATCGCTCTGGGAGGAGTTCAGCCCAGCATTCAGGTGGTCCTACAGCCCGGGGGAACAGAGAGGCCAGCAGAGTCTGGGTGGACGGATCGGACGGCATCTGCAGCCAGTTTCTTAGGATCCACTGTGGGATGGACCTTTACAAGAGATCCTTCCTGCCTACAGCCATCAGTATCTATAACATCTCTTAATGAAACGAGGATAACGAGTTACAACAACAAATAATTTCCCTCTGGGATTAATAAAGTATTTTTGAATTGAATTGAATTGAAATGTATAAAAAAAAATGATTTTATGATTATCTGTTACTAAACAACCAAACTTTCTTTTTTTGTCTCATGTTCTCGGAGACAGAGTTTTGATAAAGTTTTCGTCCATCTGTGGATCTGTGAATGAGTATTTGGTGTTGTCCACCGTTATGATCAGCTTTGCTGGTAGTACAGACCGCAAGCTCTTTACTAGGTTGAAGGTGCACGCAGTGTGCTGACCTCTGGATTCATACCTGGGAAGATGTGTACAGGTGATCTTTTTTAGAACAGGCGGCCTGGATAGCTGCAGAGTCTGTGACATCATGTAGTGGAACTATCAGTGCGCTCGGGCGTTCTCCTGCTCGTGGTTTGGGGGTGAAGGTTCTGTGACCTCGGTCTATCAGAACTGGTGACTCAAAGTTTTCTTTGCTAAGAACTTCTGATAAAACTCTGTGATGAACCAACTTGGGTTTCCTGCCTCTGTGTCCTCGTTGATTCCCACCACGCGTAGTCTATGTCTGCGCCTTTTGTTTTCCAGAGCCGTGAATTCTTGGTGCAGTTTATTATAGATTATCTGTAAGGAGTCATGTGCTGTTTCCATGGCAGATGTTTTACCTGAAACCTCACAGAGGGATCTTTCCAGGTCCTTCTGAGTGTCTGCTGTTACAGTATGGATCCTATGCAGCGTTTCTGTTTTCAGTGAAAGTTCGTTTTGGAGCAAGTCTGCTTTAGCTTCCTCCCGTAACGCTGAGATGTCTTTGTGCACGTTTCTATCTCTGCTTTAATGTCGTTTCTTACATCATCACGGTACGCACGCAGTTCTTGACGGAGTATTCCCACTGAAACAGGGGTTTCATCCTCTGCCCCTTCTCCTTCGTCTTGTGTGCACACCGGAGTGTCGTTAGCTGAGATGGTGTTTTGCAGAGTTATGCTTTTCTGAGCTTTATTAGCTTGAGCTGTGCCGACTGAGTTGTTAGCTGTAGCATCGTTAGCTGGATCTGTGCTAACTGAAGCAGGTGTGGCTTGTAAATATCCTGATGCTGCTCAATAATCCAGGTAGAAAAATCTAAAAAAGTTAAATCTGGTCCTCTGGACATTCAAAAAAAAACAAAAAGCAAAACAACAAAAAAATGTAGAAACGTTTCGTCTCTCATCCGAGAGACTTCCTCAGTCTCTGTGGCTTGTAAAGTTTTTGGGTATATTTCCGACTACCTTTCATAGCTTATATTGTTCCAGGTTGCTTTATAAATGACCAAATATCAATATTTGTTGACCCAGGATACCTTCATCCTTGAAGCTTTACGGAGCTGCCTCCACTTGCTGCTCACTCCATTCAGCCCGAAGCCTATTTTATTTTTTCAGAATTTCCTACATTAAATTTGATTTGATCCACATGCAAATAAAGTTTAAACAACGTTTTCACAGACTTTATGTCTTACAAGTTTTGTATCCATTTTTTTTTTTTTTTGTCCTTTCGGCTGCTCCTTTTGTTAGCGGTCACCACTGCAAGCTACTCACACAAAAAATGTTGTTTCATTAAGAGACTCAAATATGAAATAACAAACTACTTTTAGGTGTCATTTGTGGTCAAATTCTGTTGAAAATATTAACAATTAACGTTTTAGATTCTCATTTTTCTAAATAATATTTGGGATTAAACTGGTGGCACGGTGGCTCAGTTGGTAGAGCTGCTGCTTCTCAGCGAGGTCGTCACTCTGGTTCAAACCCCGGTCCAGGGGCCTTTCTGGGTGGAGTTTGCATGTTCTCTCCGTGCATGCGTGTGTTTTCTCCTGGTACTCCGGTTTCCTCCCACAGACCAAAAACATGCATGTTAGTCTGACTGGTAACTCTAAATTGTCCTTAGGTGAGAGAGTGCATGGTTTAGGGCTGCAACTAACGATTATTTCAATAATCGATTCATTAGCCGATTATTTTTTCGATGAATCTGCAAAAAAAAAAAAAAACGTTTTAATTTCCACCCCTTTATTCCAAAATTGAACATTTGACTGACATAGTAATTCACACAAAAAACAGGTTGCTATTTAACTATTCTGTTAGTAAAATATTGAATAATAAAAAAATAAAAGTTAGTCAAATAGCTTAAAAAAATAAATGTACACAAAATATATAGAAATGTATCTTTATACCTGCACAGTATGTAGCTACTTTGTAAAATGTGTCCTTGAGGGAAGAGTCTAACCTGGATTAAAAGTGTGGATTATTGTAACCTGGATTAAAAGTGTGGATTATCGTAACCTGGATTAAAAGTGTGGAACATTGTAACCTGGATTAAAAGTGTGGATTATTGTAACCTGGATTAAAAGTGTGGAACATTGTAACCTGGATTAAAAGTGTGGATTATTGTAACCTGGATTAAAAGTGTGGAACATTGTAACCTGGATTAAAAGTGTGGATGTAAATCACATTTTTTGGATGATTGTTTCCTCTGGTATCAGATGCTGTGCAGCTGGAGGGATTTTTACTGAAACTTTTTTAGTTTTGGACATTTGTTATGATGCGTAACCATGGCAACAAGACAGTTTTCTACAACCAGCAGCTGATTAACATCTCAAAAGCTCAAATAATATCTCAACTATGGCCCCAAATCTCAAATGAGTTGAAAAGGAGGCGCTGTATATGCATTCCTGTCTCCTTGCCAGCTGTGCTCGAGTGCCTGGCCAATGAGATCTTGGAACTAGCGGGAAACGCGGCTCGTGACAGTGGAAGGACAGGATTGTCCTCAGGCACCTGCAACTGGCTGTCTGGCTGGCTTAAATTATTATCTTTGTGTTAGATTTATTTATAAATCACATTTAAACACTGCTTGTACCAATTAAATTAAATAAAACACACATGTTCTCTATCACGGTCATTAATCAGATAAACAAACAGCTTCATCTACCAGACAGACTGACGTTACGTTTCCTCATTTGGAAACGGAACAATGTGTTATATTATTTATATATGTTGCTAATTTACGCCACTCCGTTAAAATCACTGACATGTACGCAGCTTCACCACCGAGCGGCGCTGTTTCACCATGGAAATAATTAATTCTGTATCTACAGGGTCTTTCTGTTCAGCCCAGGCTGGGGTCAGGTCTGATGCGTCGCATCTTAACCAATGATTGTAACAGAAATACGAGTGGTGTAAATCAGCTTCCTGCAGATCTGTGCAGACGGAGCACGTACCTTTATAAGTAAACTAAGACCGTTTTTATTCATAAACAACAGCGACCCGGAAGTTCACTGCAGATCGTGCTTCTGTAACAGATCGGGGAGTGACATCACCTGCATTGGGAGCCGCTAGCTTCGTGTTACGTCAGTGCTGGGGGGTGGGGGGTGGGGTTCGGTAGACGGGATGGGGCGCCCCGCTTGTATAATGGTAGAGGGACCACTGGAGTTTGCAAATGTTTTTTTATATGAAATTGAAAATTTACAGCTATTTGTATGGCAGAATAAGGTTTCATTATTTGTATGCATATGTCCCAGTACCAAAATTAAAAATAAAACTTTGTTGAACACAAACTGCACAGTTGTTTCTTAATAATCTGTTTTTTTAGTGGCGAACGTTAGTGAAGGCTGCAGGGATCGCCTCTGAAGTTCCAACAACTAAATTATTCTATGACAACTTCTTCACCACGACATACAAGTGATTGATTTTAATGATGCTCTGATTCTTGGTACAGTTAGTGAATTTTATTTTCCCCCAATTATAAATTAATTTTCTATTGAGACAGCCCTAAAATAAAGATGTCCATTAAAAGTGAGAAACTGATGAAAATGTTCTTTTCTGTGCTGGGAGCAATGCTCCTCCTTTCTTCCTGAGTCGGCACATGAACAGGGCGGTGCGTGTAAACGCTGAGCTCGTATTTAGGAACAATTCATCTTGTGGCCTTTTGTTCCGAGTGGCTTTAGGTTGTCTCAGTAAATGTTCATCTTTGACTTCAGGCGTGCAAACGAGGAAACGCTGACATCGTGCGCCTCCTGCTGGAGTACGGAGCTGACTGCAACATCCTGTCCAAACACAAGAACACTGCTTTGTATTTCGCCAATTTCAGCAACAACCTTCTGGTTTGTGACCTTGTGAAGGACCATATTAACATGTAAGTGGTGAACAGCCTTTATTCTTGTCTGTGATCAAGTTTGGTGTATGAACAGATGATTTGGAGGACAGAAATTCATCTTGTAAATGTGAGCTTGAATAATTCATGAGGCAACTGATGGTAAAATCATCCTGTGCACGTTTCCACATCTCAGGCTGTCCAGTGTGGCTGAGGACACCATCCGAGCATACTTTGAGTCTCGTCTGGTTCTGCTAGAACCCGTCTTCCCTCTGGCGTGCCACAGGCTCTGTGAGGGGCCCGACTTTTCCATGGAGTTTGGCTTCAAGTCGCAGCCACAGCCAGAGGGTAAGATGCTCGTCTTTCTGTCACCTAGTCAGGTCTGAAACTGCACGACTTCACTTCTGACACCGCAGCATCAAGGTCTGTGGAGCAAGTGAAGTTCAACTACAGGCTCACTTTATAAGTAGATAATCTTGTGGAGAATGAGACATTTTCAACGCATATGCTACTTATTTTACAGAACACGTAAGGTTTCTTTTTAAGATTGGTTTACAAAAATATGTTTTAAAATTCTTTTATTTCTACTCTTTTTTAATTTAGTCGCAAGCTGTCGGTTTAGAAAACTGCATCAAATGTTCTGCAAAGACATTTTACTCCCAAAAGAAACCCCACGGCCATTCTCCAAGAAGTCGATCCCCCTGCAGCGCACCAGTGGAGAGTCCGTTTGATGTGTGTTGTGTACAACACTATGAGAATCACAGAGATGGTAGTTTTTCAGGTGATGGATGAGAAAACAAAATCTTATTTCAGGGTGTTGAACACCGTGTGGACAGTTGTTCAGACTCTCCGTGTTCAGTAGCACCCATGCACAGCATGCTGGCATCTGCACAGAAGAACTTAGTGGTTACACTGCAAGTATTACATCCCAGATGCTAATGTTGGCTAAAAACAAAAGCTACAGAGAATATGCATCGATGTGGTTAGAAAGGACATGGAGGTTGTTGGAGAGAGGACAAAGTGAGATGGAGGGTGACTTGCTGTGACCACCTCTGAAGAGGGAACAACCAAAAGAAGATTGTCATCATGGTATGTTCCCATACCATGATGATGTTAGTCCCTGCATCATCACACCTGGGACACACCCAGGTGGAGCAGTGGGCAGCTATGTGAGCGTCTGGGGAGCAATTAGGGATTGGGTGTCTTGTTCAGAGACACCGTGACATGTGGCAATGGATGGGAGCTGAACTTGCAACTTTCTGGTCCCCAGTCGGCTGCCCTGCCTCTACACCATATCACCCCCCCTCCCAAAAAAAAGGAGCTAATATTAGCTGCTAATATTAGCTCCCAGCAGCTAGTATTAGCTCCCAGCAGCTAATATTACCTCCCAGCAGCTAATATTACCTCCCAGCAGCTAATATTTTTTTCATTTAGCCTTTATTTATCCAGGTTAGTCTCATTGAGCCACGAGAACTCATTTGCAAGAGAGACCTGTTTTTTTTTTAGGGAGCACATGGTGGGGTTAAGGGCCTTGCTCATGGGCTCAGAGTGGGGCGAATGAGGGTGGGGGCAAGTGTGGGTGTTTCACCTACCCCACCCACAATTTTGATGTTGTTGGGGCCGGGGCGTGAACCGGCGATCTTCGGATCACAAGCCCACCTCTCTAACCTCTGCGCCACCACTCCCCCAATATTAGCTCCCAGCTGCTAATATTGACTCCCAGCAGCTAATATTAGCTCCCAGCTGCTAATATTAGCTCCCAGCAGCTAATATTGGCTCCCAGCAGCTAGTATTAGCGCCCAGCAGCTAGTATTAGCTCCCAGCAGCTAGTATTAGCTCCCAGCTGCTAATATTGACTCCCAGCAGCTAGTATTGGCTCCCAGCAGCTAGTATTGGCTCCCAGCAGCTAGTATTAGCTTCCAGCAGCTAATATTAGGTCCCAGCAGCTAGTATTAGCTTCCAGCAGCTAATATTAGGTCCCAGCAGTTAATATTAGGTCCCAGCAGCTAATATTAGCTCCCAGCAGCTAATATTGGCTCCCAGCAGCTAGTATTGGCTCCCAGCAGCTAGTATTAGGTCCCAGCAGTTAATATTAGGTCCCAGCAGCTAATATTGGCTCCCAGCAGCTAGTATTGGCTTCCAGCAGCTAATATTGGCTCCCAGCAGCTAATATTAGGTCCCAGCAGTTAATATTAGGTCCCAGCAGCTAATATTAGCTCCCAGCAGCTAATATTGGCTCCCAGCAGCTAGTATTGGCTTCCAGCAGCTAATATTGGCTCCCAGCAGTTAATATTAGGTCCCAGCAGCTAATATTAGCTCCCAGCAGCTAATATTGGCTCCCAGCAGCTAATATTAGGTCCCAGCAGCTAATATTAGGTCCCAGCAGCTAATATTGGCTCCCAGCAGCTAATATTGGCTCCCAGCAGCTAGTATTGGCTCCCAGCAGCTAGTATTAGCTTCCAGCAGCTAATATTAGGTCCCAGCAGCTAGTATTAGCTTCCAGCAGCTAATATTAGGTCCCAGCAGCTAGTATTAGCTTCCAGCAGCTAATATTAGGTCCCAGCAGCTAATATTAGCTTCCAGCAGCTAATATTAGGTCCCAGCAGCTAGTATTAGCTTCCAGCAGCTAATATTAGGTCCCAGCAGCTAATATTGGCTCCCAGCAGCTAGTATTGGCGCCCAGCAGCTAGTATTGGCTCCCAGCAGCTAGTATTAGCTCCCAGCAGCTAGTATTAGCTCCCA